TGCTGTGTGTGGGCCCCGGAATTTTTTTTTTTTCTTCTTGTTCTTTTCCTACTTCCATCCTCTCCCCGCCACTGGAAGTCCTCCCGTATCTAAATGGAATTAGTGGAGACCGAAGCCCCTTGTGTAAGGAACAGACATGACCCATGGGCGCAGCTTCTTTCACAGTGAGTCTCTCCCCCTTCCCGCCCCCCCGCCGCGCACGGGCTCCTGCCCTCCGCTGCCTCCACAACTAGCGTAACGGGACGCCCAGACCTCCGCGGTAAACTCCCCCCACGCACACACAACACCCCTTTTCCCCGCCACTCCGCGGTGCAGCGGAGGGGAGCCGGTGTCTGTCAGCGCTGTGGGGCGGGGGGGCACGCTCCTGCCGGCGGGAGGTTTTTACCTGGGCACGAAGCGTCTGATGGCTTTCGGCGTGCCGGGGGAGAGAAGGGGGAACGGATCCCGCCGGCCGCGGCGGTGCGGTGCAGCCCCAGCCGGGGCTCGAACCAGTGGCCGAGGGGAGAGGGGTCGCGGGGCAGCGGCGAGCGCCGCGGCGGGGACGGCCCCAGCGGGCGCGGATCCCAGAGGGCTGCGGGTGGGGGCGGCCTCCTCGGGCGAAATCCTCCAGGAGCAGCAGGGAGGCACCGAAATGTAACAATTATTTGTCGAAGACCCCCAGGGGCCTCAGGTTGTGCGGATGGGACCCCCCTCTCCCGCCTCAGTTTTGCAGAGGGTCCACTCTACCAAAGGGGCTTGACTGGCCACAGTTCCTTCCAGCACCTCTTTCTACACCCACACCTATAAAATAGCAGCGCTATGGCCAGGTATTGCTTGTCCAACAACTCTTCGCTAGACTAAGCCATGTCTATGCCAGATCACAGCCTCCAAAAAGCTGCCTGGCCAAGAGAGAAATCTCTTAATGTACAGCTTGTAATGGAAAAATGCACAGATCAAAAAAGATGCAAAGATGCGTAATCAGAGTGGCACTAGAAAGCATGATTATAATTACACCCGTGATTAGGAGGGAAAGGAGGAGGAGGAAGAAAGAGAAAATGCAACAAGAAATTTGGTGGGAACTTCTTTAAAATAATTCCCAAACCCAGATAATCACAATATTGTTGCCGTACTGTCAAAGCTTCCCAAGTGATGGTTTTCAATGACTGATGATGGCATGATTGGTCTCTTCGGGGTCTTTTTTTTTTTTTTCCCCCCTCAGTGAAAAGCACTATTCTTTTCCTGTGGCTTGAGAAAGAAAAAAGCAAGGGGTCATGGAATAAAATGGACTGCCTTGACTGCTTTAGTAAAAAATATTGTGTTATCTTCTCCCATAAAGCCCATAATTTTAATTACTTTCTGGCAATATACAAATTTTGGTGATGCTGGTGTTAATGCCACTAAATCAAGAGGCTTTTTCTTTTTTTGAAATATGGGAGAAGCATTTCACTTCATCTATCCAAATGTTATATATGATATGGCCAGAAAAAACCAGTACATTTTATTATCAAGATTATTTGGACTCCTTATTAATAATCAATACTGACATGATGATATGTAAGTATAGCTCCCTGCTTTGGAATAACACAGCTCTGTGACTTGGAAGCACCCTTTCTAGCGGTTACAGCTGGAATTGAAAAGACCTGTGTTTTTTCTGTCATCTTGGTAACAATATCTCTGTGACTTGGACCTACTCTACTTCTCTGAACTTCAATTTTTTCCATGTAGAAAAGGAGTGGAGAGCCAACAGATAAAGGTTCTTGAAATGAACCTGTAAGAATCAGATATGAATTTTTATTAATTGCCTAAGAAGAAACGTTTCTTACATGGGGTTTGTTTGGCTGTTGTGTGTCCTATTCTAGCTTCCATAAATTTGTGGGCAGAAAGAACACCAGCAGCTGGCTCCACATTCTAACACCAAAGCACCTTACGCTATTGAGAAACTAGATTTTAACTGGTGAGGATTACAGGCATAGATGCAGTATGTTCACTGCATGAAACACAGCTAAAGTAAATGAGCAACTTAGTAAATGGGCGAATCCTGCATTGCCTTCAGATTCTGACACAGACGGCAGACAGAGTCCCAGCTAGCACATATTTCTAGAATCCATCCCTGAGGAGAGTAAAGGCATGAATAGTTGGGTAGCATTCAGACCCGAGCAGAAGATGTAATGTTCTCACTTAATGCCCATGACACAGAAGAGTTTTAAACTACCAGCTCTGCCAACATCCGTCTCTGTTAGCTGAGGGATTCAAAAAGACACACGGGCTGTGATCCTGACCAAGCAATAGTGAATACGCTGCCAAGCCTTCATTTTCCCAGAACTTTAGCCTTTCCCTGCTTAATAAGGTAGCCATCATCCATGCCTTAGACCCTCTGTCACACGGGAAGGGTAGAAGGCATAGAAATAGAGATCTCAATGCTATCAGAATACTGGAAATATGGAGACTGGCTTCCTTCGGGGTAAAAAATTGCACACAATAAAAGCTGAAAATGATGAAAGCACCATTTTTGAAAGGATCGTTTAGGTAGCTAGTTATTAGCCCATGATGACTTTTGGTGTCTCTTGGGGATAAGAAGAGGAAAGTGTGCCATTTAATTACATTTGTTAAAGACCACAGGTCCATCAGTTCCTCATCATAGTCAACAATACAAATGGCAGTTGAGCAGAATAAATACTCAGAATAAACACGCAACTTCGTCTCCACTTTTAACTTCAGTGCAGTCTGGGCACTATGTCCGGGCTTAATGCCAAACTAGCTGGGGTTAAAACCCTGAGCACTCCAAGAACTGATGGATCTGTTCTCTTATGCCCTTGCTATCCCACTTTCTCCAATAGACAAAGAAGATATGGGTGATGACAAGAAAATGCTATCATCAGTGCATGATTTCTTCATCAGGTAGCTAGCTAGTCACTTTGATCTTCCAAAGCAGTCTCATTATGACTGACCTAAGTGTTTACCTCTTAGCCTTTTCTAGTAAAAATGTTATATTCGGAAACTCCCAGAAACTCAGGAATTATCTGTAGGTAGAAGTCCACCTCAGAAAGGTCACATTTGTTCCCAAGGGGCATAGCTGTCCTATCATGGTTGGAGATAGGAGATTTCTATTTGTAAAATGGGCTGTAGATTCACTGCAGCACAAAGCAACACCCTCTTGACAAGTCAAATAAATGAGATTAATGAGACTGTTAAGCACACACAATAATTTACTTCACTGGGGATTTGCAAATGCTTTGATGGATGTGAAGAACTCAGCCCCTCACTTCTTTCATACTCCCAGTACTCATTTTCAAATTTTATTATGCCATAGTGAGAGACATTAGTGAGACCAGTGACACTGAAACTTAGCAGGCCTTTGTCTCCCTCTGTTAAAAGCAGCCCATTTTCTATTACTGGCCTACGCTATGATTATAGAAATAAATATTGGTAAAATGTTTTTCTCTAATATTAAAAAAAGAAAAAAATAGGAGGGAAACATCAGTGCCTGAGGATTTTGTTCTAAACCCAAAAGATCTCTTCCTTATTTGGATACATTTACAAAGATAAATACTTACAAGAACAGATCGCAAAGCAACTTGTTTATACAAAATGTGTAATTTAAAGATGTAAGTAAACATGAAACATTTTTTTACAGTAATTCTATTTAATTTGTATTCTTCTAAAATAGATGTTTACAATTGACTTGATTGCAGACACTATCATACTGTGGTATCTAATGCATATTTCTCTTTCAGTTGTAGCAAGTCTAATCATCCTACATTTGTCTGGGGCAACCAAAAAAGGAACAGGTATGTAAACTTCAGGCATTTTTTTCAGACATTATATTAGAGTCCAAAGTATGGATTTGAGTCGTTAGTTTAGTTCTTGAAATTTTTAGTAGTTCACCTACTTCCAGTGTCTGTCCTTTTTTCATTTGCTTTGAGTATTAATGTGCCTGTACACACACAAAAATCCAGTGGTACTTTTTTTAACAAGTTAGTGACTTGGCCCACAGCTAGATCTAACTAAAGACTCAGCCTCACTCTAACTAAAGACTGTAAAGTGCCCTCACTTTCAAACTGGGAAGTTCAGTTTGGGCACTGAGTTACCTACACTTAAGATCTTTTTGCTTTTTGAAGTAGAATTCAAAATCTGAAATTGGGTATCATGGGTGCATTTGTGCAAGGTAGGGATAGAAAGAGGTTCTTAAAAGCCCTGGATGCTAAGTGTGGTGACAGCCAAGCAGAAAGTTGCTAAACACAGTGCATGTCTGAACTTGTGTCTGAATGGTCAGTCCCTGCAGGCCTGAATTAATTTCAGGAAATTAGGATCTGTGTTGTACTCAGCTTGGATACAGACCAGGAAGAAAGAGAAATGCTTGCAGAGCATAAAGCAGATCTCAGGTGGTTAAAGTCATCCTTGGAAGGTGCCTGTCTCCCTCCATTGATCATAAGAGGGAGCCTCAAACAGCTCAGCTCTACACATCAGAGGCTTAAGTTAGATGGGACACTCCTTGGATATAGATACCTCATTCAGAGTAAAACACTGGAGTTCTCTTCAGACACCTGTGTGGGGTCTAAAACATACTATCCTTGCTTTTAATACCAGCTTAGGTATTTTTCCCTCTGAAGAATCCATCTTATTTTAGCCTACTTGTTAAAGCATGATACCCAGGAAGTGGTCCTTCATCTTCTTCAGCCTGAAGAGACTCAAACCTTTGTCTCCAGGCTCTCTGCCAATGTGCAGAAAGGAGTGCAAGAGTTTCACGGATAGGAAGAAAGCAAACAAGAAGGTCTGACTCTGCTCTCTGATGATTCATCTAAGAGGAGGAAAGTTCTGGGCTGTGATTCCTGGCCTCAGAGCTATTTATTAATTTTACAGCAAACAGCAAGATAAAAATAATCTATGAACCAGGATCCAGGAATTCCCCTGTCTATCTCTGTCTAGTGAATATAGAGTCAAACTCCTGCAAATTTAAAACAATTTCTATATTCTGCCATAATTCTGTGGTTTTTTTCTTCATTTTGTGACTCTGATGTATTCCTGTATTACGGCATGTAGCTTGCTGATAGAGCACACGCTTGAGCCTTTTGAGATATACGAGTGGGTACTCGTGTCTCCCATTTCTCCAGCATGTGTTTTCCCTACAAGGTTGCTATTTAAAATGCAAAATAAATATGTCTTCCCCTAGACATCTAAGCCTCTTCTCTGCTTTGCAAAAGTGTTTTGAGTAAGAATTATATGTTTGTACCCCTAAAGAACAGCCTCGTTTTCCCCCAGGTCAATGATCATACTTTTAGTGTCAGCAGAAAAAAGCTGAGGCCACTGACAGAAGGGACTGTTTTATTCTGTAAGAGAGTTCTAAGTGTCATAGGGACATAATAATTTGTGAGCTAATTATGTAATGCTTGATGTGATCATTTCACAGAAAAGCAAACTACTTCCGAAGGACAGAAACCAGTGCAGTGTGGAACTTGGACAAAATATGCAGAAGGAGGCATCTTCACTTCTCCCAATTACCCCAACAAGTATCCTCCTGACAGAGAGTGCGTCTACATTATAGAAGGTGACCAGCCAAAGAATCTTTATATTCTATCATCAACTGTATATATAAAAAAAAGTATTTTATTTTATGTGAAGAGTAGGTAAAGCCTATATGATCATGATAAATCTTTTCAAGATACAAGATTTAGAGAAGCTCTATCTCTGCACTTTTTCTTTTTCTTTTTCTTTTGTTTATTGTAAAAATTTTTAAAATTTTGTAGATCATACCAAGAAATACTGGAAAATACTTGATTTATTTCCTGACATCACTCATAAATTAGTTCAGGTAGTAAGTATGCATGAGTCACTTAGTAATAAAAAAAGTATAATTTATTTCAGGATATTCAGAGAATGAATAGAACCTAAAATGCTGTAACATAACAGAAGAAAGAATATTTCAGTGAGTAAAAAAGTGAGCACAGGAAATGAAAATGCTTTTGACTTTCATATAGATATTTTAAACTTATCATAACTGAATCAGGGATAACAAGCATAGCTAGGCAAAGTACAGTAAAAAAAGTCATACAGAAAATATCCATATAGTGAGTGTAAAAATTATTTTCCATCCAATTGTTCATGAGAAATGAAAATAAATGAAAAAAAAAACAAAACCAAAACAAACCCAGGAAAGAATAAACATTAACACTGAAGAGCTGTAAGACAGTTTTTAAAGAGTTGCAGGCATGGAGGTGATGTAAGAAAGGCTAGAGGTGTGTTACAAGCAAGTTATACAGTTTCTTTTCATCAGTCTTAGCACAATAGACGTTGAAGGGTTTGTTGTAAAAATGGATCTGTGGAAAGTAATAGAGATTAGATACTGTCAGAGCTTAGTAGCAGAAAAGACGAATCAGGTACAGAATGGTAAGCCATTGGAACCAAGAAGATTCATTCACGAGTTCTGAATACATGCAGAATACAACATTGACGCTTGTTCTATCCGTGCTTGGTTGGACAGAATTATTAACTACAAGTGATAGAGCTAGGAATTATAGAAATATTTATTTTACTAAAGATGCAGGTAGTATCAAAAGAGATTTCCAAAGGTGTATAGCTGATGCAAGTTGAATTAGCTGCTTTAGAACCCCCCACTAGGCCCTTTAGAAACCAGTCTGTCTTTCCAAATCTAGTACTGAGTTACAAAAAGAAATATATTTCATAAAAACCTTCCAGGGAAATGATGGATAGTAAATGTTGTATGTATTGTTTAGGAAAAAAAAAAAATTATAACAAAATGACTGAGATCGCTGAATTCCACTTTAGTGCTAGGTAACCTGACTGAAGTCAGAAGTAAAGAGGTGATTATAAATCACGGAGTCAAAAAAGCCCTTTAAAGAAAATTTATGCTTGTCCAGTCTTCCCACCTGAGTCTGAAATTTAAGCAGATGTGTGGTAAACATTTAAGTTCTTTCATAGTTTAGTAATTGACTTAAAAAAACAATAACAAAAGATAAATATATAGGTTCAATATGTACTGTCTAGCATTATATTTTTTGTTACACTTTTGTTACTTGATCCAGGTCTGTTTGCATCTATTGCGTATATATTGCGTATATTGATCAAATTATCTTTCTAATATTCCTGTGAGGCTGGGAAGAAGTAAGCCTATTTTATCTTCAAGGATCTGAAACACAGAGATGTGTTTTATCATTAAAGAGAAAAGATGTGGGAAAAAAATAAAATATGAGCATTTTTGTAAACCCTAGTCCAGTATCTCAGGCCATAAGGTGTTCCTCCTCTTAGTAAAAAGGTGCCTGAAAGCTCTTTACTGTAAGGACCTTTGTCTTTATTATAGTAACTAAGCACTTATAAAAAGATAGTTAATAACGTGAAAGGTGGCAAAATATGCTGTTGAAATAACCTGATTTAGAATAGAATCATAGAATCATAGATTCATAAAATTGTTAAGGTTGGAAAGGACGTCTGAGGTCATTGAGTCCAACTTGCTGACTTAACTGCCTGGTCCACCTCTAAACCATGTCCCTAAGCAGCACATCTACACGTTTTTTGAATACTTTCAGGGACTGTGATTGTGCCACTTCCCTGGACAGTCTGTTCCAATGCCTAACCACTCTCTCCATGAAGAAATTTTTCCTAATATCTAATCTAAATCTCCAGAGCAATAAGGTCTCCCCTCAGCCTCCTTTTCTCCAGGCTAAACAACCCCAGCTCTCTCAGCCGCTAATCATAAGACTTGGCAGTGATAGGTTAACGGTTGGGCTCGATGATCTTAAGGGTCTTTTCCAACCTTAAGGATTCTATGATTCTATGATTCTAAGACTTGTGCTCCAGACCCTTCACCAGCTTCGTTGCCCTTCTTTGGACACGGTCCAGCACCTCAATGTCCTCCTTGTAGTGAGGGGCCCAAAACTGAACACAGTACTCGAAGTGTGGCCTCACCAGTGCCGAGTGCAGGTGCACTATCACCTCCCTGGTCCTGCTGGCCACACTATTCCTGATACAAGCCAGGATGCCATTGGCCCTCTTGGCCACCTGGGCACACTGCCAGCTCATGTTCAGGTGGCTGTCAACCAACACCCCCAGGTCCTTTTCCACCAGGCAGCTCTACAGCCACTCCTCCCCAAGGCAGTAGCGTTGCATGGGGTTGTTGTGACCCAAGTGCAGGACCCAGCACTTAGCCTTGTTGAACCTCATACAATTGGCCTCAGCCCATCGATCCAGCCAGATCCCTCTGCAGGGCCTTCCTACCTCTGGGCAGATCAACACTTCCACCCAACTTGGTGTCGTCTGCAAACTTACTGAGGGTGCACTCGATCCCCTCATCCAAATCATTGATAAAGATATTGAACAGAACCGGCCCCAATACTGAGCCTTGGAGAGCACCACTCGTGACCAGTTACCAAATAGCTCAAATTGGAAATGTCTAAGAACAATTTAGGAAGGAAGATTCCATCAACCAGCTTCTATGATGAAGATGAAATTCCATGTTGACAAGTTTGGAGCAATGTATAGTAAAAAGAGTCATCTGAACTCAACAGACATCTTGTTATATTTTATGGGAAAAATCAATCTGGCAAAAACTAGTTGCACATAATTTCTTACACACAGATAGTTTCTGCTTCCTGTCCAGCCATAATAAACAGTTAGATTGCAACTGGGTATTTTAAAACTCATGATGATAGCAGCTCTCTCAGTATATAATTTGATGAGGACCATGCATATTGCACAACATTTTCAGCTCTGATCTCCCTGTGTCTATTTCTATCTTCTAAAAAGATCAGGAATAGTCATGTCTGAAAAATGTCACAAAAATAAACAGAGATGTAGTAAGATGTCTGAGCAATGATATTTTAAAAAGTGTCAGTTTTCAAAAAAGGCAAAAGGAGAAACACTGAAGGACAATAAAATCATTTTGTAATTACAGTCAATTATTTGTCCATATTTATTGTTTTTACAACATATAAAAACAGCAGAAAATTATAAAGAAGGCTAGCAAGTGAAAACTTTTCCCCGTATCTTTTATATTCTGTGGAACTCATTGGCATAACATATTGAAGTTAAAGGTTTGCAAAAAAAAAGTTTGATTATTTTACTAATAGCAATATCTTTGAGGTCAGATAACAATCTGTGGAGTGGGTAATCCTTGCTAATCCAGGTCATAAACATCCATGGGTTTCCAAGTAAGACAGAAACATCTCCATATGCATCTTATTCCTATATTTATTATTGAGATTCCAATACACTTCAAATAGCTTCTGGCTGCTGTTGAATACCAAGTACCAAACTAGGGGGACTGTCGATATGATCTGTAATAGCATTCCCACATTGCTATGGCCCCTTTGTATGTCTTAGACAGTTCAGCATACCAGAACTGTATATACCATACTGACAGCTGTATGATGTGAGTTTAAATACATATATGAATCAGCAGGTTCCCTCCTGCCTGCTTGTTTTCACTCCTTCATTTTTTGCTGTCAAGCACAATGTAGGGCAAATTCTGATGGCTTTCCTCAAACACAATTCCTGACTTTAGTGGACTTGAGTGAGGACTCCAGCATGTAGTGTGTTGTAATAAAATTGAATTTCATTTCATGATACAATTTTTTCCCCCACATTGTAGCTCATCTTAAATGTATGCAAGCCTTTTATCATTTCAAAATTACTTTGGTGAAGTAAAGGAGCTGGCAAAAATTGCCATGATCATAGACTGTGAATTTCTAAAAGAGAAGAGGATTTCTGACTGCAGAGGCTTCTATCCTAGCAGTCAAAGGCATAAGCAGATCAAACAGCTAGAAGTTTCTTTTTCTTTTCCTTTTTTTTTTTTTTTTTTTTTCTTCTATTTTAGTAGTAATGATAATTAACTATTGGAACAACTAGGAATTTTAAAGTCCAGACTGGACGCCTTTCTAAAAGAAATCCTTTAGGTCATCCAGAAGTCATGGACTCAGTACGAAAATTATGCTATAGAGGAGTTTCTGGTGAATCCCATCTGCCTTTCAAAATGCTTGAGAATTTTTTCTTTTTTTTTTCTCTCAGTCTTGTTGAGCATATAGAAAATGTAGGAAATAGCTGAGTGTACACATAAAATTCCCTTTTGGGTCCAATTTCACCCTTGTTTTGCATATTCATGACTCTAACCTGGCAAAATTCACAGCTGCCCGGAACAACCGCAGCAGTGGCAGCATTAGCCTTTGCCAGACTGCAAAAAATTTGGCATGTGTGCTCCAAAAGGAAATTTGCACAGATTTTGTAGGAGCAAAGGCTTTTGTTTGTGTTACAAATATTTGGGGAGTGGAATAATCATACTTCACACAATATGTCTTAAGAATTGGTTTGGAAATCCTGTAAGTGAAATACTTGAAAGATTTTATCCATTCTTCAGTTCTTAATAATCAAATGCCTGTTTATATATATATATAGGTATGGACTAGAATTGCTTTACAGAGATATGAAGTGAATCACCCACTTTATGTGTTTGTGGAAATTTAGAGTTAGCTCTCTTGAAGGTCTTCATCTTTTCATTAAAGACCATTAAACTCTTTAATCCTAGGTCTTTTACTGGTGTTAGAAAATGGTCACCTATTACTGTATGAAAGATTTCTGCTCAAAGTCCTTTTGTATTTCACGGTAATTTTTGTGTTCAAAGAGTTTTCATCAAAACAAGGAAAGAATCTTCTTTTAAAAGGAGGATATAGGTGGCTTTCTTATCAGTAATAGCTGGACAACCAGAAAGACCAAGGATTATTGAAAACTATTAGCACTGTAGCAGCTCAGATAGATGGGGGTAGGTGTTCAATGTCTCATTTCCATGCAGTCTGATAAATTGAAAGAGATTTTTTGCTTAACTTTGGCTGTCAGTTACACAGAATTAGAAGCTGGTCAGAATTAAAACCTTAATTGTGTGGTTTTGCTGCAACTGTTCTACCACAAGTTGGAACCCAACGTCTTTTTTTTATTGAACATAAAATCTCAAGACAGCACTGTGTAAGATAATTAGATGAAAAATATGACAAGACATGCAGGCATTAAGTAGTCTTTCCATGGTATTAAACATTTCTGAAGAAAGATAATTGGAAGCTAAATATGGAAGATTTTTAAGTTTTGAAGTATAATCATTTTATGAGACAGCTTATTTCATTTGGACTTGACAACAACTTTTCCTGACATTGTAGCCACAGAAAAAGTTCTGAGGATGTGAATGGGCTTTATGTGTGAATAAGGGTACCAGAAATGACCACTCCATCCCTCCTTTTCTGATTAGATGGTCAGATTCCAATCCAGTCTGGAAGAATTGCATATTCCGGGCTTTTTGTTCGTTTGTTTTGTTTTATTTTTTTCTGCAGCTATACATACATCTATACATACATTATTGTTAGTCATTATTCTGGATTTGTTCTCATTGTATTTCTGTAAGTTTTACTGTGATCACATTTGCACACACTTTGTTGCAAAAGCCACAGCACAAGATGTGTATTTATAGAACACCTGCTTATTTTAGCTTGCGTTTGGCAAAGAAACCCTTTGCTAAAGCCGGAGTATAAGTCTGAAACGATACCTTTTTTGCTAAAAGGAAGTTAAAGGTGGGAGTTTGAATTGTGTGCTTTCATCCCTTATGGTCATTTCCAGGAATATTTGAATAACTTTTTTTCTTAGGTAGATTATTGCAAACAAAACATTTAACCTTCAACTCTAAATATCGTACAAGATGAAACATAGAGATGCATTTAAAAGGACATGACGAAAATGTGCATTGATGCTTGTATATCACCCCTTTGCCCAATTGCTTGTGATCACCACAGTCCTCACAGTTACAGAAACACAAAATGTTGTGTTCCTCAGGAGAGTTAGGAGAAAGGACCTTGTCCTGTTTGGACTAGGTTGCAGAGCAGGCTGGGACACAGGCAGTACCTATACTAAGACCTAAAAGAGGTCAGGAAATATTCACTGACCTTAAGGCTGATAGGCACAATCACACATGTACAGATTAACTCCTTTCACCTTCCCAGTTAAGAGTACAGGTACAAACTGCTTGCTGTGAATGATGCGAACCACCACATCATACCTAAGAACAGGGTTTGGCAGTTCTGATTGGCATAGCCAAAATGGTGCCAGGAGGTGATTTTAACATTTAAGGAGTGTGAATGGTCAGTGGTCCAGCCCTCAAACTCATTCCCCAGCCTTGTTTTATTTAGCAGTGGAGAAATGGTGCTAATAAATAGTCAATGCTCCATTCTTAAAGTGCAGCAGCCTCTACATATGGGAGCTTTGGGGGAAAGTAGAAACTCTTTCTTGAGTGCTCCTTGAGCTGATGTGATTCTCTCTGATCCTTTAGCAAGAATTGAGCTTCACTAGGAAAAGCCTCATCTTGACTTTGTTGAAAAAAAAATAAAAGCAGAGAAGAGTAAACTATAACAGTATTCTGATCATAAAACTAGTTTGCAATGTGAGATTCAGAGAGCTACAGGGAAGTTGTGGAAATTGTGCAGTTTTTTCTCAGGCCATGCTTTCACTGAGCCAATAGATCTCATGCATAACTCTGTAGGCCTGAATCTCTTTTACCCGCAAAGACTCCTTTTGTATTATACTGAAGCTATAATTGGCTTTAGGGCTCCTTTTCAACACCAAAAATCATATCAAATGACTGAGCTATAACTCAGACAGGGCTTCATGCCCATTTTTATCAAGTTACATGAGTCTTGGATTCAGAGGAGATCTCTTAAGGGTTTAACTATGGGCCAGCACTTGTAAGCCTCCTCTTGGTATGAAATAGAGTACTAAAGGCCTAACACAGGAAGTGTATGAAGGGCAAATATGTTATATTAAGGGCGTAAGCCATTTTTGAAGCAGGTATCTCTTTGTTGCTGTGGAAAGCAGAGCAGCCATACACTGTGGTATGATGCTGTCTGACACTAACAATACTAGCAGAATTCATCTTCATATCTAGTTTGCAACATTACAATAAAGCTTCAGGTAGGTTAACAGCATAATATTTGAATAGTGAGTATATAAGATTTTCAAGCCTTAATGAGCATTCTTAAGATTATCTAAAGCATTGGCAGGATGGCATTTCTGATACCTGACTCTGCAGTCCCTAGGTGAATGATGAGTAGTTCTCAACAAATCTTAAATGGAATAAGCGCATACAAAATATGATCCCAGACTGAAAAGTGCTGATTGCTCTCTTCTCCCTTAGTATTGCTTAGTTAAGTTTAAATCAATATTTGTTATAAATATGTGAAATCAAAGGTAGAAACATCTGAATAAAATTAATCTATGATGTCTTCCAGTTATTCAGTCTTTTGCTGTAATCTAAAAGATTTGCTTTGGTCTTCGAACCTCACCAAGGGTAGCATTAATAAGATCTTCTTTAACAAGCTTTATTATCTGATTTTAATTTTGTAAGTTTTTTTTTATATTTTCAAAGTAGTTTCATTTCCATGGACTGTGAATTTGGTGCAATTATATATAAAGTTTTAGGTTTTGATTTTGCTATTGAATTTGTATGGGCACAAAGATCACAAATTTCCTGTAAACTGGTATAAATAACAACAAGCCAATAGTAAGTACTTCTCTAAATGTGAATTTCTTCAAATTGAGAACAGTAGATAAGGTTTCTTTCTTATGTTAAATTAAATATTTCAAAAAATGTCAATCACCCAATGACATTAATATTGAAAGTAAAGCTATTAAAATAATCTTCTCAAATAACGTGTTTTATTAACTTACTTTCTCAATGCTTCTTATAAAATGAGACTATTTATTTACATGAAATAGCTGTAAATGGGATCTTAGTGTGTGCTCTTATGTAAAGATTATAAGATTTACCTAATGTCTTCTTTTTTAGTTCATTTTAAATAGTCTCCCTCTTATGTGAGTAATGAGGTCATCCCAAAAGCTTCTTCAAAACATTTCAAAATACATACAAAATCTAGGTTCTGGTCACACTGGTAGTTTTCCTATTATTCCTGAGGAAAGAAATGGAAGGATACTGACCGCTGGAGTGGCAACACTTTCCATGTTAAGTTTATGCACTCGTCTGGGACTTTGATCTTGCATGTTTTCATGTGAAAAGAACGGTAACTCAGGCAAAGCTCATAGAAATTTCAACCTCTTCTAATATGCGTAAAGTATAGGACATGATCCCATGAGAGGCACAGCAGGCAGTGACACAACAAGCCCTTGTCTTAGCAGAAGGCTTTGACAGCAAACGGCTACATAGAACCATGATCTAGACACTGAATGCATACATTTTTTGTTATGGACAGGATTAAGCATAGGAACACTGCACCCCAGGGATGCTGCATCTGTTAAAATTTGTAGACAAAACCATGATTTTTTTTTTCTCCATTTAAGAAAATACTATAGTTCAACCAGTAACTATTTTGCTTTATACAGGAGATGCCAGGGAATATTTGTTTTAGAGATCATTCTTACTGCTACTAGCCTAAGTATCTGTGAATAAAAATGTTTTTTGTGTCTAATTAAGTGACAACTATAAATTTTCTTCAAGGTTTTCAGTAGAATATTGTTTGCTCTTTAGTTAGACATTAATTTTGCTTCATCCTTATCTAGTTTCTTAAGTGAGAATTCACTACACTCGTCCTTATGTTTCAAATGAGATGATAAGTAATTCTGAGTATAAGCAATTACACTCAAGCTTGTCATTGCAATACATATAGGAACAGAATTTGTCCTTACTATAGTGCAGTTCTGATCAGTTTTTTCTTAATCTTTGTGAGCATTAGGTAAAAAAGTATTCTGATTAACATTACTCCTCCCAAATATAAGAAAACACTGAATTTCCAGAAGCATAAGTTTCTTAGAAAGATTTTGTGTTTGAACCAATTGTTCCTAAACTGTATTTTGCTTTACATCATAGATATCTCTTAGTTTTGCTAAGAACTGCTGTCATGAGCACTTTTTTAAAGGAAAAGAATAGACAAGTAAGCTGATAGTATAAAATCTATAAAAACATAGATGTACTAATTTTCAAATAACTTTTTATGCAAAGCATTAAGATGCATACAAAATTGATATATTTGTTTTTCTTTATTTTTGTTTTAGGTTTGAGGGGTCTTGGTTTAGAAAATAATAAGCTAATTTTCTTTTCATCTCTAGCTGCCCCTAGACAATGCATTGAACTACACTTTGATGAAAAATATTCCATAGAGCCTTCTTGGGAGTGTAAATTTGACCATATTGAAGTACGAGATGGACCTTTTGGCTTTTCCCCAATCATTGGACGTTTCTGTGGACAGCAAAATCCACCTATAATAAAATCCAGTGGCAGATTCCTATGGATTAAATTTTTTGCTGACGGTGAGCTGGAATCTATCGGGTTTTCTGCACGGTATAATTTTACACCTGGTGAGTACAAACTTTTTGATAGAAAAAGCTTAGCATAGTAACTTTGCTAATGATGTAAAATTGTGCTGTTGAATAATATCTTTAACTGCGACTATGTTTTTTATCAAGGAAAGTATTAACAGATAGGAAAATGATAGAAGGCATATATATCTTTTGCATAACAACTAAGGCTTATTCAAGGAAGAAATTTTCAATACAGTTTTGTACAAGATGCATATATTCAGCCTCTGCAGTTTTTAAAAGAATTGTTTTCAATCAAATTCTATTATAGAAAATAGAATCATAGAATCATTAAGGTTGGAAAAGACCTTTAAGATCATCAAGTCCAACTGTTAACCTAGCACTGCCAAGTCCACCACTAAACTATGTCCTCGAGCACCACGTCTACCCTTCTTTTAAATACCTCCAGGGATGGAGACTCAACTGCTTCCCTGGACAGCCTGTTCCAATGCCTGACTACCCTTTCAGTAAAGAATTTTTTCCTAATATCCAAACTAAACTTCCCCTGACACAGACTGAGGCCTTTTCCTCTCGTCCTATCACTTGTTACTAGGGAGAAGAGACCGAGCCCCACCTCACTACAGCCTCCTTTTCTCCAGACTAAACAACCCCAATTCCCTCAGCCACTCCTCATAAGACTTGTTCTCTAGACCCTTCACCAGCTTTGTTGCCCGTCTCTGGACACGCTCCAGCACCTCGATGTCCTTCTTGTAGTGAGGGGCCCAAAACTGAACATAGCACTCGAGGTGCGGCCTCACCAGTGCTGAGTACAGTCAAAACATTTCACGGGAATTTTTGTGTTTTATGCTTGATTTTTGACTGTGCAGCTTTTCTTTCAAAATTATCTTTAATAAAGTATTCTAATAAAAGAATGTAATTCTCTCAGAAAATTCCATCATTGCTTTTCCACTTCACCAATCATTTTCCCAACTGAGGAGCAGAATAGTTCTTCCTTTTCAGTAAAGCAAACTATTACAAGTATTGCCAGAGGAAGTGTGAGGTTCAAAGAGTAAAATGTTTTTTTCTAAAAAAGATGTAAATCTTAACTGTCATTGTACAGTTATTCCTTGTCAGTTTTTAAATTCAGTTCATTAAAGTAATACAAAATTCATACTCATACTTTCCATTAATTCTCCTCCCCCCCCCACCTTATTAACAAAAGATTGCTGATTTTAAATTTCATTTTTGGCTGCATCTACACTATACTGCACTGCACTGCTGGATTTGACGTAGTTCTGTACCTTCTTAAGTACTGAGTGATGAATCATACCTTAATATAGCTCGCTCTAAAGCACTGTAATTATTATGTAATTTTGTCAATTATGTCGCTATTGTTTCAGCTAAATTGTTGTATTAAGTGGAATAATATTCTTTAGAATATCTGCTAAAATTAACAGGCCCCAAATTCTGCTTGCTTAATTATTACAGTAGCATCATAGAAGATATCAGGGCTACTTGAATATTCATCTATGTGGTTTTCTTTCCCTTATGCAAGGAAAATAGTTATAAAATTACCCAGCATAGTTCAATTTTCTTTTAAGTCAAAGATACTGTCTCCCAGAGGATAAACATATTTAGAATGTTCAAACAGCAACAGAATACAGAATTTCCATAGCAAATAACCTGATAGCCAGATATATGTATCTATTGTAAATGCAAAGACAATGGATGAAATTTTACTATATCAACACATACTTGTCTCTGAAAAGTGCGTTAAATTTGTTTCTCTCATTTACCATGGCTCTGTGGGCTTTTGCCATTTTCCTCTCCACCTCCGCCAAAAGTTCTTTGCCTTAGACTTCATGTCCTTCTTGTTTCAAAGGGTTATGTATTGTGCTTGAAAAGATGTTCATAGCACAATCTGCAGCTTATTCTGTCTAAAAAACTCTCAAGTGAAAAACAATTTCATGGACTGTGTTTTATCCTTGTTCCTTTTCTACTGATGTAAGGTGGCTTTCTACACAGAGATCAATGCTGGTAAATTGCTATAGCAGCATAAATTATTCCAGACTTCAGATGGAATAGCTATATCTTGTTTCTTTCTGTTTTTTTCTTTTTTTTCTTTTTTATTTTTTCCTCCATAGATTGGCCAAAATGAGAATATGATTAATCTGACAAGTGCAAAACAGCACTGCTGCCTCCTTGATCACCAGTAACAGGAAGCAGTTCTCATTCAGCATGGTTACTTGACCAGTCCTTTATTATGTAGGCATGGATAAGGCTTGACATTTTGAGATCTGTTGTCCAAATGTGTGCAGTGGGAGGGGTCACTGTCAACTCATCAAAAAGAGCGATGGCTTTCAAGAGTATAAAAGAGTAGCATAGAGAGGCATTGCCTCTAGAAATTATCACCTAAACCATCTAGATCCATTTTGGGTAGTGACAATTTATGAAATTAGATTATGAACAAAGGAGAGAGCAGAATAAAAAATTCAGCTAACCTCTCTTTAAAGAACATCAAGAAAATGATCCAAAGCTAAGACTCATTTGGAAACTATTGGTGTCTAGAGCAGCTGAACACTCAGGAGAGATACAGTTTGTTGCATCCATCTCACTGGACACAAGCAGCACACAGCCTAACTGCAGCCTGCATAGGAGGCTTTCTCCAACCCAGTGAGAAGCACAACAGAGCTATTTCTTTAGTACCAGAAATCTTTGATGTTTCCTACCTGTGTGGTCCCCACCCACCCCTGAAGTGTTCCTCAGATGACACTTTTGCATTTGATATCTTGATGGAGGCTGTGGTTTGTTGATAAAGACAAGAAATGTGATGTTGAATGTGTGGGTGTGTGGCCAGATTGAAAAAAATTAAGTAAGTAAATTTGACTAAATTGAAGCTGCAAGCATTTATTATTATTGGAACCATACCTGGAGAAGCAGGGAAGGAAATTATTTACTATGTCTCCAGGGTGTACAAAAACAGCTAAATGGATGAAATTGAAAAAAATATCAATTAGAGTATCAGGAAAAATGTTCCAATGAAGATGTATTAGTCTGTGCAAATGGAAAGAGCCCTGTCACCTGAGGCATTTTAAAACTAGTTTGGACTAAGTCCTGAAAAAAAGAAATTATATAGAACAATCCTAAGGAATAGACTAATATTTTGCAATTACTAGAACTTTTCTGTTTAATAATTTCTTTGACTCCTTAGTATTGAAATAGTTAGAACTCCATGCACTGATGCAAAAGTCCAGTGGAGTTTCAACAGTCCCTCAACATGCTGGAGTTTCAGGCATCTTGAAACAAACATAGTTCTCTTGCCAAAAATTCCATTCCATTTTAATAGATTTTTTTTTCAGAGCACTTTTCAGCACTCTAAAAGGTGAGACCTAGCAGAAGAAACAACTTTAATGACAAATCCAGAACTACACACAAAACCACCACAAACACACCCAGTAAGTGGTAAAACCACTGAAAATTCTGCAGAAAAGTTCCTTATTAAGCGGATAATTTAGGCTTTCATTTTTGTGATTTTATAAATTATAGGGTTAAGCAAGATGTGGTTGAATGACGCTGTATGTATGGTATAAGGATTGACTATTCTAAATGTCAAAACTCTGGTTAAGGGAAGAAGTTGTCTTTTTCTTTTATATTATTACAGCTGAATACTAGTAATAACTACATGCAGTCTGGATATAAAGTAAATTTTCAAGCATTTTGTACACATGAGAGTTTATAAGAAAAACAAAACATTTACTCTTTATGTACTATTTTAATTTTATTTTTTATTGTTAAATGCTAATTAACTGTGATCATTTCTAAATGGAACTATCTGAACCTATGAAACCTTCATAAATGTATATAAACATTTTGTTGGGTTTTTTGCAAATCTCATGTTTAAAAGAAATAACATATCAGACTACAATATTTTCAGGTTGCTCTGGTTCATTTTGAATGCAAATATGATTGGCTAGGGGAAGACACATGAGACAAGTCACATGATAATTATTTCTTGCTCTTGTTTTGTCATTCTTTGGGCCATTGAAAAGCTTACACCTGAAATTTCATTTCACATCTCTAGGTCTTTGGACTCAATCTGTTGCCCTCATTTTTCCTAAAAAGTTATGTCTTAAAAGCATTTTCCAAAACAGTGTTGAATCACTGGTTTGTGTAGAAAAAAATCAAGTATTACGTCAAGTATTACAACAATCATTCTTTAAAATGAGTCAATTTTTTAGTATAGACAAAGATTCAGACAGAGAGAGGATATGTTCATTTCAGCTTTCTTACTCAGCTAGAATAATCAGATTTCAGATTTTGCAGGACTGTGGCTTAAGATAGCACATCATTACTTTCAGTTCCTTCACTTAGTAGCAGCCATCTGTGTTTTTATTTAGCCTCATTAATATAGAGGTCAGTCAGTAATGTTTTCTGTTCAACTGTCTGATAATGGAAAAAGAAAAAAAGCTTTATACTCCTATGTCCTGAAAAGTGGAGTGTAAAACACTGTCTAATCAGAATAACGGTACTTTTACATCCCCGTTGCAGTGATACAAGTAGCTGTAGAATGTCAGACTAATAGAATAATGACATCATCTATCTTGAGGGGAAAAAAAGAAACAAACCACAATCCAAATTTTTCCTGATTGGGAAATTTCCATGTTTTAGGACTGATGACAAATTTAAGGTGAATTTATTAAATTCAGTCACAGTTCTAAATAACTTAGATAAGATACCATCAAATCATTTTGCCATCTAATGTCCATGTCATGCCTCGTGTGTATTTAAGGAAGGGGTATTTCCCAGGCCTCTGGGACAGCTGAATACTTGTGGCAGCTTGCTCACTTGGTTTTATTTATTTGTTTATTTCCTGTTCTCTTCTGAACTTGGTATGATTGTTTTTAAGTTAACATCAGCAGTGACAACAACTTTTAACCAACTTGTAATCCAGTTCAGTTTTTTGAGAAACAATAAGCAATCTCAGAGCCATGTGACTTTGAATAAGTCAATCTCTTTCCTTTGGGATCAGAGTTGGTTTGAAATTATGAGAGATTATTCAT